GCGCTAGAGATAGAGCAATGAGTAAAAGAGATTTGGTCCCTCTGCTCATGGATTTTACAGTGATAGCTAATCACACAGGTCTTTAAATTACAATTGCCATTTGTACTGTAAGAGAAAACAGGGAGTTCTGTGATTGTATTTAAAATCTGCCAAAGCCTCCCTAGGAAGTAAGGAAATGCTATTTAAATTGAGTCTTGAAGAATGAGGAGGTAAGTATAATAAAGAGTAATAAGTAAATAAGTAATAAGTAAAGAGAGATGGAAGAACCATCCAGGCAGATGGAATAACATACTCCAAATCTCAGAGCTAAGAGGAAGTACGATGCATGTGAAGAACTCAGAAGATGTTGGAATCTAGTGATGTGAATGTGAGTAATTACACAATGTTAGACAGGAGAACTAGACAGCAGTGAGATAATGTGGAGCTTTGAGGGGTATTTCAAGGATTTTGAATTTTATCTTGATAGCAGTGGGTAGCCTTTGAAAAAGTTAAAGTGTAGGAGTGGCATGATCAGTTTTTTTCATGTCTCTGTATGTCCTCTATTGGGTGGTGACAAGAGTGAATAAGAGAAGATTAATAAGTAGGCTGTTGCAGGACTCCAGGCAGGAGGTGATGAATAGCTTGAATAATGGTGGTGGCCATAGAGGTAGGTGGAAGTAAGCAAATTCAGAATATTTTTATATGTGATTTTTCTGTCTTCCTCATATCATAAATTTAATAACTACTCATAGAGTTGCTCAAGCCCAAAACCTAAGTTATGCTTGATTCTTTTCTTTTTCTCACTCTTCACATCCAGTCATGTCAGCTCTACCTTAAATATATCTCAACTGCAACCTCATCTCAGCCTTTCCACCCCTGCTACCACCATCCTAACCAAACCACATCCTTTCTCACCCAGACCATTGCAAATGTCTCCTAACTAATCTCTGTATCTACTTCTGCTTTCCAAGCCTATTTTCATAAACTATCTGGAGTGATATTTAAAAAGTATAATTCAGTTAATGTCACTCCACTGCTCAAACAACTCCAATGACTTTTCATCACACCTGGAATGAAATTCAAACTTCTTACCATGGCTTCCTGGCTCCTCCGTGATCTGACCCCTAATAACCACATTGGTTTGATTCCCTACACCTTACCCCCCTGCTCACCACTAGCCCCTGGTCACACTGGCCTCCCTTCCATTCCTGGAACACACTGAGCTTATTCCCACTTCAAAGCCTTTAGACTTGTTCCCTCTGCCTGGAGTGCTCTTCCCATATCTTCCTGAGGCTGTCTCCTTCATATCATTTAGATCTGTATGAAAAAGAGCCCATTTCCCATCCCTTTGCTTTGGTTTTGTCTTCTTAGTCCTAGAGTAACTTGAAAACATTTTTACTTATTTATGCATTTACTCTCTTTTATCTGTCTATCTTTTTAGAAAATGAGCTCTTTGAGGATAAGAACTTTGACACTGAAACAACCCTAGTGTCTAGAATACACTTAAAAGATATAGAAATGAATGAATAAATGAAAATTTAGACAAAACTATGAATGTAAAGACCTTAGTTCTGTTTTTTGGCACACAGGAGACGCCCAACAACAGGTAGTTCCTGTTGTTATTCTCTTTGATCTGTGTAGTAAGGAGTTACTTTTTCCCCAGATATGATTAAATTATACCGTTGATAACTTTGTTAGTGAGTTATTGTCACTAAATAAAATGAGAGTCTTGGTGTGTGGAGGGGTCATCATAGTGGTTACTTTTGAATAAGTGGAACAGTAATATGAGAAGAGTCTGTACATACTCAAAAGGACTGTGATGGATACACTTTGGGGAGCCACCCCTGCTTCCCACCTGATGGTGGTCACACCCTTTATAATCCTCTTTTCCTGAGTTTGGGCAGGGCCTGTGACTTTCATATAACCTATAGAATAGGGCAAAAGTAATGGCATGTCACTCTTGTGATTAGGTTATTTTATATGACAACGATAATGAGATGTCACTCCTGTGATTATGTTATATTATAAAGACTGTATAGGCAGACTGGAATTAGAGAGGACTTCTCTCCCTTGCTGGTTTTAAAGAAGTAAGCTGCCATGTTTTGAGGTAGCCTGTGGAGAAGCCACATAGCAATGAACTGTGGGTGGCCTCTAGGAATGGAGAGCAGCCCCGAAATAATAGCCAGCAAGGAAACAGGGCCCTCAGTCCTACACCCACAGGAAATGAATTCTGTCAACAACCTGAAAAGGCTTGTAAGCGGATCTTTCCTGAGTCAAGCCTGTGATGAGACTGTAGTCCATCCTGACACCTGGATTTCAGTCTGATAAGACCCTGAAGCAGAGAGTCCAGCTAAACTCTGCCTGGATTTCTGACGTACAGAAATTTTGAAATAAAAAATGTGTGTTGTTTTAAGCCAGTAAGTTTGTTGTAATTTGTTACATAGCAATAGAAAACTAATACAAGAACCATATACAGAAACTAAAGAAAAGCAAAATTTAGTCAAATATAAAAAGGACATGCCAAATACATATATATGTATGTATAACAATCACTTTGCTGTAAGTCAACTATACTTCAATTTTTTTAAAAGGCCATTAAATAGAGTTATCTAAAAATGAAATGAGTTTCATCTGAGAGTACTAACTTTCTCATTGCTGAAAGTGTTCAACTAGTTCAAATGTGGTTAGTTTATCAGCAAGGAGACAGGAGATTGGATTGGTTATCCTCACAGGGTTCCTACCACATTAAAAATGATATGATTTTAAGAATGAATTATCACCATTGACCTGGCACAGTAAATCCTGTGGATAAACACAAACAACCCCTGCTTACACAACTAAAGTTGCTGTCAAAATTTCATATTCCCAACCAGCAAAAGCTTATTCAATGGAGCCACTTGCTTTTAAAATCCAAAATAAAGACACAAAAATAAACTCTTTTCATTTTGCTTTTTGAAAGCACAACGTACTGTTTTGGTTAAAAAGCAATTATATTCATTTGATTCCATGCTTTCAACAATTCTAAGAAATCTTAAAAAAAAAAAAACACTATACACGGGGAGGGGGAAGGGTAAGCTGGGACGAAGTGAGAGAGTGGCATGGACACATATACACTACCAAACGTAACATAGATAGCTAGTGGGAAGCAGCCGCATAGCACAGGGAGATCAGCTTGGTGCTTTGTGACCACCTAGAGGGCTGGGATAGGGAGGTGGGAGGGAGACGCAAGGGGGCAGGGATATATGTATATGTATAGCTGATTCACTTTGTTATAAAGCAGAAACTAACACACCATTGTAAAGCAATTAAACTCCAATAAAGATGTTAAAAAATAAAAATAAAACACTATACCCATGTGGCCTGATTCTGGTGCCAAAAGGAGGTAGATCATTTTAAAATTACCTACAAAAAGGCAAGTTAATGCTGAGAGGAAATATCTGTGAATCTTTTCTCTGGGGGCGAGGAAGGTATAAGGACTTGTATCCAGAATACATTAAAAACTCCTACAATTCAATAATAAGAAGACGAACAACTCAGTTAAAACTTGGGCAACGGTTTGAATAGGTATTTCACCAAAGAAGATATTCAGATAGCTAACAAAAACATGAAAATATACTTAACATCATTAGGTATTAGGGAAATGTAAATTAAAGCCACAATCAGATCCCACGTCACACCCACTAGAGTGGCTATAATAAAAAGACAACAACGAGTTCTGCCAAAGATATAGAGAAAAATGAACCCTCATACATTTCTGGTGGGAATGTAAAATGGTGCAGCCATTTTGGAAAACAGTTTGATAGCTCTTTAAAAAATTAAACATAAATTTACCATACAACCCAGCAATTCCACTCCTAGGTATCTACCCAACAGAAAGAAAAACATTTGCCCATCCAAAAACATATATGTGAATGTTCATCGAAGCATTATTCACAACAGGCAAAGCGTTAGAAACAACCTAAACATCCATCAACTAATGAATGGATAAACAAAATGTAATACATCCATACAACAGAATACTATTCAGCAACAAATCAGAATGAACTGTTTGTACATGCTATGATCTAAAACGCTGTGCTGAAGGAAAGAAGTCAGATGCAAAAGACTGCAGATGGTATGATTCCACTTATTTGAAGTATCCAGAATTCCAACTATATATAGACAAAAAGCATACTAAGTGATCAGTGTTTGAAATGGGCAGAGGGGATGTTTTTGGGTGATAGAAAATGTTCTGAAATTGAATTGTGTTGATAATTGTACAATTTTGTAAATTTGCTAAAAATCATTAAACTGTACACTTAAAATGGGTTAATTTTATGGTATGCAAATTAAACCTCAATAAAACTATTTTTAAAATACCTCCTTTTAAAATACTGTCTACTAGACAATAACGTCATTTGAAAACAGGGATGTACAAATGGTCTCAGGGACCCTCCCCTCCTAGGAGGAGTTTACAGATGGGTACAAAGGCAAACCTCATGAATCCAGGCTTTCATCATTTTATCAGGGAGTAGGAAGAAGTGGATCAATGTTTGTCCCTAGGGAAGGCGTCGGTAAGTAAAGTCACTATGACACAAGCTAACAGAGGCAGCCTTGGAATATTTACAAAGAACAGACTTTGGAATACCCTGTGAGTACTTTAGAAGCACTCATTTTTTAATACAAGGATCTGCTGGTATAAAGTATTTTTATACATTAGAGCAGATCATTTCACACTCCAGCAACACAATCTTTTGATAGCACCACTTGTTTCTGCATCGAAATATTTAAAATATTATTCAGTTCAGACATCTCATTGAATCAGACATGTCTTTCCATGTCTACCCGAGTGTGTTTAAATGAGCTATTCATAGCTCATTTCTGCAATTATTAATCTAATTATACTTTGACCAAGAAGATGTACATACATATCATGCACTTACACATTTTAAGGGACAGAGGCTATATAAATAGCTAGAAATGTATATTTAATTTTTGGGAGCTGGGGATACATTTTCGACCCTAACATTGCAATTGTGTACCTGGAATGCGATGGTCCTCTTTCCTGGGAAGTCTGGGAGGACAGACTTCCATCAAGGGAGTTTCCTCGGTGGCAGCCTGAAATGGTGGTCTTGGGTGAGATGGAATCTGACTGGAACGTTTCAGAGACCACCTGGAGTCCCTTTTGGGGGTGGAGATAGTAGATTAGTGCTTTATTTTCCTTCAGGCATATCCTCTAGAATTATCTATCATATTATATACATTGTTTTTTAAGTTAAAAAAATTTGCAGCATAGTTAAATATCATGTCATAGAGGAAGGGATTTTGCCTTCATTTAAGAAGGAATGGAAACTGGCTTCTAGAGAGCACCTGTGTCATTCTAAGCCTTGGGCTAAGTACTTTCATGTCTTTTATTTCACTTTGCCCTTGATTCTTTTCTTTTTCACCTCCATGTCCAGTATCTACAGAAGAAGAGCTACAAACCAACGATTCATCAAAGATACACCAATACTGAGGTGAACTGAATAGAGACATGAGGCAGAGAACAAGGGTCAGGTTAGAAAGAGCTAATCAAATCAAAGACAAAACATAAGAATGAAAGTGCAAGGTTCAGGTTTTTCCATTACGCATCAGGGGGGCATGTAATACATTTTTCCAATTGGATACAATTACCTTTACTTGTAAGTACAAATTCATTTCACTTTATTTACAGAGTAGTTTAATTACATTTAGCTGATAAATGTAATTCTGCCCAGGTAATGTGAGCTATTTTTCCATCAGTATTACAGATAAAATTCTTTGCTAAAAGATAAAGACCCTCAAAAACTGATCATAGCATTTTAGCCCTTACAATTTCTATTTTCATATGTAAAATAAGAAAGCATTGTTCAAACATGATGCATAGAGAGACAAATACAGATAGAAATTAGATGAAATAAATCCTCTGAATTTGATCAAAGAATCCTTCCGCATGAACATATGATGTGTGTTTCATGTTAGATTTTTGGAGATAAAAAAATACTGGATGAACCTGAACCTTGAAATCCAGAGCTTACAGTTTAGTTTTAAGAGAGGTAAATACAGGTTACAGCAGCACATCTGATAGAAGTATAATGCAAGCCACATATAGGAGACACACACCTAATTTTTAAAGTAGTAAAAAGAAATAGGCAAAATTAAAATTTTTATAGTATAGTCTGTTTAATCCCAAATTTTCATTTCAACATGTCATCAATATAAGTGTTACCAATAAGTTTTTACATTTTTTATACTAAGTTTTCAATATCGGGTATACATTTTATACTTAACACCAATTCAGACTATTCAATCAATTCAAACTAATCATATTTCAAGTGCTCAGTAGCCAAATGGGCCTGGTGGCTACCATATTGGACAGTGTAGATTTAGAGTAATTAGACAAGAGCTCATGGGGATCAAGATCTAAATTCGTCCCTAAAAGAAAGATACAATTTACGTAGACAACAGGGAGGAGGAAACAGTCTGAGGGAAGACCCAGAGACTAAAACTGCATGCTCTGCCCCCTGGGAGCAGTGCTTAACTAACTGAAGGGATAATCAGGGTCACCTAAGAAGGATGATGTCAAGTGGTGGAATGCACAGAGAGCCAGGGATAGGAGTGTGGTCTTGAGGTGATGGTTGATGGGATCCACTAAAGGTTCCTAAGGAGGAAGGGATATAATAAAAGGATGGCACCTTGTGTATAATGAGCCTCTGTGGAAATGATGAGTTAATAAAAAAATGATGCATTAGGAAGATTAGTCAGGCATTATGAATTGATATTTATGTGAAGCAGGAGAGGCTAGAGGTAGAAAATCCAATCTGTGGCTCCAGCTGCAATCTAGTTACGAGGACCTAGATTTAGCGGGGTAGCAGTGCACACCTGAGCAACAGGATGAACAGAAAACAGTATGACTCAAGAAATCAAATGGAAAGGATTAAAGAGACTGAAATGTGGGATTTATGTATTTCATTGTATCTAAGATGTCTTCAAGTTATAAGATGCACCATTATTTTATGTATGATTAAGAAAAAATTTCTGTTAATTAAATTAGGACACTTCTTATCAGTGACAACTTTTTAATTTTATACTTATTAAAAAGGTCTACCTTAGCCTTATTTATGCAGAGCTTTTGGTTATATATCAATCCCATGTATATGTAAAAAGGAAAATATAAGTGAAATAAATTTGTGTAGGTATTCCTAAAATTCTTTCACATTTAGCAATTTCAACTCAGAGCTGTTGATATATATTTTTCCATAGAATAACTTCCTCTGTGTCAAGAGTGTTATTTCTTAAAAGAGTGCTTCACTATCCCCTCTGACATACTCTTCTAAGCCACTGACCCTGATTCTGCAAACCTGGATGCTGAAAATGACCAAATTTATGCTGCAAGGATGACAATCATATCAAGACTTCTACCAGGCAGGGAGATGGTAAGAGGCCAAAGATCATGAAATACACTAGATTTCAAATATGTTAAAAGTGAAAAAAATGTACATCTTAGAATAGATGAAATACAGCATATAAATCACAGTGTCTATACTTAGCAATTGCTCAGTAGGAGATATACTAGGACTCCAAAATTTCTAGTTTTGATGGTGAAAAGGATGATGCTACTCCTGGCAATAATGCATGAGCTGGAAAGAGGATCCAATTTTGATGGAAAGCAGTAAAGTGTATTTTTCACATGCTGAACTGGAAGTGAAAGCAGGTCATCTAACACGTATTAAGTTAATGACAGTATACATTTCTATGTGGCTTTGAACTACCCTGGTCTTCATTTCTCTTCTGAATCAAATAGTGCATGATGAATTTACATTAAATTATATTCTGTTTTATTACGCATCTTCTGTTTTATGTGGATTGGTCTTGATTCCTCATTAAACTTTACTTTCCTTAAAGGATGCTGTATCTTAAACCTCCTTTCCTTCCCCACTGCTGCAGTACTATTGTACCTATATTAGGTTTGCCTAGCAAATATTAGGAGATTCAATAATTGAGAACAAGATGATACTTGAGCTAATGCAGGATGAATAATGATAACTAACGTTTATTGTTACATGCTAGCCATTGAGATACAGCACTGGTCAAGTCTTACCCTTCACACTACACTATGTTCAAGGAATGACCACCCTTCTTCTCATGATTATAATATACTCACCTCTCGGTGTCTTGTGTCTTGATTTGGTGATTCACAGGTCTGACTTTGACTGTTGATGGGAGAGCTTCTCTTAGCTGCAGAGATGGATGAAATCCCACCACAAATTTTATAAGTTTATATGTTATATAAGGTATTTTACTTCCTAAGTTCATCCCACTTTCAAATCAAAAACCTATTTTAATAGATCATTAAAACCTTGAAAGAAGACATTTAATAACATATGTTGTAAGAGAAATCACATAACCTATTCAAAAATCTTAGCATTTCTAGGATATCAATATAGATTTCTTCATTTATTCAGTATGACTCAATAAGTTAAGGTGCTAAAAATTGGCCATACTAAAAATTATAACAGTTAACATCTACATAGTACCTAATATCTGTCAAGTCCTGTTCTAAGCGTTTTACATATATCAACTGATTCAACACTTACAATAACCCTGTAATAACTTATACTTCCAGACCCATTTTACAGATGAATATACTAAGAAACAGGGAATTTAACTTGCCCAAGGTCACTGACCCTTAGAAAAAGTTTCCAGCCCAGGCTACCTGGCTCCAGGTGCTTTATTGAACACATTAAGCTGCCCCTGAGGTAAGATTCAAACCAGTCACATCTTTACCGGAGGATCAATGGGAAGCCAAAACGACAGGCCCCATTTGAATTGGAATATTTTGGTGCTGAGAGGCAAAGTGATTTACCAAATCACAAAGCAAGAGATCAGAGGAGTGCCACTCATGTGCCATTGTTTTTCTTCTGGCCATGCTAAGTTTAATTTTCCCTCAGTGGACACCATTTCAAGTCCAGAGGCATCAAGCAGCGGGTAAGGAACCCGCTGTGAATATCACTGAGAAGCACAGGGAGCAGGGAAGTGAATAGCTCAGGTGCTTTCATGGAGGGACATGATTCCTTAGTTTTTATACAAGTGTTAACCTCATTCCATCCATGGATTCTGAAGTAGGTCACTTCTGACTATGGCATCTTTACTTAGTTCCTTGATATCTGAATATTATGATAGACTGTTACTCTTTAATTTACAATTTATTTCAATAGTTCATGGATTATATACATGTAAATTGAGGGATTAGTCTACTTTTACTGTATGAAAAATTTCATCTTTTGAATGGCTATAATAAGCATGATTTGTCACTATAAGCATCTTATCACGTACATGAATAATATGCAACTCCTCAGTTTACAAAATCCCTTAACATGCTATGAACCTTGCAAGTTTGTGTTAAGTTATAGGGGAAAATAAAGCATGTAAGAACTTGTTTATGGTTTCCTTCCCTTTACAAAGCTCTTTTCCATTCATAATCCTCCACTGTCTGCAGAAAAACCTTATAAAGTTAACTATATATATATATATATATATATGTATACATATATATACTTCTGTATATACTTCAGTGTGTGTATACACACACACACACACACACACTTCTGCAGATTTCCCACACAATTTATCTCTTTTTAAATTTTGTTATTGATGCTAAAAGTTGGGCTGGGAATAGAAGTATGTAATTAAGCACTCTCTATAAAATGGGCACTTTATATGTATTTTTATTGACTCCGCTATGAAGCCATATAAGGTGGTATTTTTATCTCCATTTTAAAGAAATAGAAATGCTCAGGGAGGTGCGGTTACATACATGGTAAGAGATAGATCTGGGGTGGAGCATGAACTTTTCAGGCACTTTTCAAGCTATCATGTTGTACTCTTTCTACATTCGACAGTAGGACTATTGCATTGGACCATTCCTGTAGTGAAATGCCTTGATAAAAAAAAATCAAAAACAACCCACTTAGGCGAGATCGTTAAGGAGCTGCTACTCCATCTACCATAATGATGAAATAATAATGGCTACCACTTACTCACTTACTATGTGCCTGGCATTCTTCTAAGTAATGTTACATATATTAACTCATTTATTCCTCATGACAACCTTGTAAGTACTTGTAATGCTGTGTTTTGGCCCCTACCCTATTTTACAGATGAGGAAACACAGGCACAGGACGTTTAAATGACTTAGCCAAAGCCACACAACTCAGCAGCATGTGCTCCTGGTTTAGACTTTCTCATCATGTAAATGAGCCCTGTACCTGGGGCACCTAGATAACTCCTGGAAGTTGTCTTCCTCTTGGTTTCTTAAGAGCAAATCATCCCATCGCTCTCACTCCTATGTATGCTGACACTGTCCCACTGGGCGTCTGAGTCACAAACCTGTAATGATGTTCCTGATGGGCTTCACCAGTGCTGTGAAGCCAGAGACTTCGGGCTGTCTGTGCTCCCACATGGGCTGCCATATAACAAGCCCACTCGCCAGTCGGAACGTGAGGTCAGATTCCTGGGAGAAGAGAAGATCTATATCCAAGAACTGGCTGAAGGGACCAGTCAATGCAACGGTTAACATCATTCACCCAATAGTTTGTGGCACAAACTACTGGGTGTAAGATAGGCTCAAGGATGTATTGTACAACATGGGGAATATAGCCAATATTTTGTAATAACTATAAATGGAAAGTAACCTTCTAAAATTGTATAAAAAAAGAACATCATTCACACGATTATTTTCAAAGCAGGCTGATCTTCAAGACCTTCCTTCTTCACTCTGATGAGTGTTTCTAGGGTAAACCAATAGCCTTAAATTATCATCATAACTACGATAGAAATCACGGTGGTCTGCTTTAGGCAAAATGAATAATTAATAAAGATGCAGCTTTGGGCAGAGCATGAAACACACAATTATTGTTTTCTGTTAGCAATGACTGAGGCCTTTTTATTTCAAGGGTCTTGGCAGATCTCTTTACTTGTGGTTATTGTTATTATTCCTCTTAATGATTTAATTGTCCTTCTTTCTCCCTCATAAGGCAATATCCTCAGATGCTATTTTGACTTTCTATTCTCCAGGCTATCTCTTGTTCTTGCATTTCATGGAATCAGGAACATATAGTTAGACCCTTCTTAGCATGGTATTTTATACTGTTGCCTTCTCAACAATCTTTAATTCCCTGAGGGCAGCGATGTAGCCACAGCCCCTGTCATCATCACAATGCTAAATACAGCATTAGGAATTGGGTGCATGATAAGTACTTGCTGAACTGTACTTACTTTACAACTCATACTCATTCGGTTATCTACAACTGAAGGTCTCTTCCAGGGAGTACATTCTCTGCTTCATCATTACATCATTTTGAGTGGCTGAGATGTTTAAAATGCAATTGTATAAGTACAAATGTATGACATTCTGAGGTTACATTTTCAACAACTCAGCCTCTCAAAACAATGTAGAGATGGAAGCAGAGAGAGTGATTGCAGATTAATGAACATAACTGAAACCAGGAATTCACAGGGTGGTGATTTGCAACGTGGCTTGTATATTATAATCACCTGGGGAGCTTTTAAAACCTAGGAGGCCCAGGCCCCACTTCCTCCCCTAACCAGACCAATTAAATTAGAATTGCTGTGAGGTTTTCTTGAGTTGCCCCTGGTGACTCTCATGTGTAGCTATGGTTGAAAATCACCGGTCTAGAAGGAGGAGAGCTGGAAAGAAATTGAAAAAAAGGAAAAAACATTTATTCTGCAAATGGTGAATCAATGTAGCTCAAAGGAAGCTTCAACTGGAAAGGCTAGATGAAATCCCTGAATAAATCTCCACGTTGGTAAAGAGGGGACTCTTCTGTAAGCTATAGGCCAAGATCCTGGCACCACAGCAGTACCCATGATGGAAAAGCATCTAGTGTCAGTATTGGAAAAGCATTTGTTCAAATTCACGCCACTTTCATTCTACAAATATTTATAGACCACCTACTGTGTACCTGGTCCTATTCTAGGTTCTGGGATACAACAGTGAACAAAGCACACAAAAATCCCTGTTCTCCAGTGCAAAGGAGAAGTAAAGCAGGGAAAGGGAAGTGTCAGACAAGGTGCTGGTGTTTTAGACAGGAAGGCCAGGGAAGCCCTTCTTGTGCAGGTGACTTTTGAATAAGGATCTGAATGAAATGAAGGAGCTGCCAAGTAGATATTTCCAGAAAAAGCATTTTGTGAAAAGGGATCAGCAAGTGCAAAGGTCCTAAGTATATCTTGTGTGTCAAGAAACAGCCAAGAGACTGCGGGCCTGGAGTCAAGCAAATGACAGAAGAGTAGAAAAAAATAAGATTGGAGACGTTTTTGAATTCCAAATAATATAGGGCCTGATAGTCATAGTAAGGACTTCAATTACTGAGTAACATGAGAAGTCCCTGGAGGGTTTTGAATAGTGGAATGACATGACTCGATGTATGTTCTGAGGATCACTCAGGCTATTGAGAATAGTTTGAGAAAGGGCAAGGGAGGAAAGAGACTAGGGAGCTATTATTATCAACTAGGTAAAAGATCATTAGACTAGGGTATTAGTAGAGGGCAAAATGAGAAGCTGTAGATTCCGGATGCATTTTGAAGGTACAGTTTATAGAATTTGTTAATTGACTAGAGGTAGAGTGTAGGAAAATGAGATGTCAAAGATTTTTTGGCTTTGCCACTGATAAAGATGGGCAAGATAAAGGAGGAACAGGTTTGGGGATATCAGGAGCCTAGTTTTAGACATGTTAAGTTTGAGAGGCCTGTTAGACATTCAACTAGATATACTGAGTAAACAACTAGATAGATCCGAAGTTAAGGCGAAAGCAACCCCTTTCCCTTGAAATGGACATGGGGAAGTCTGCATGGTATCATGTGTGATCCAGCAATCAACGAATTAACCATGATCCAGCAATCAGGGAATTAACCGTGTGCAAAGTATATCAGATTTGTCTCCAGAAATGTAGAATGCTAAATCACAATTGATCTGGTTTTGACAATTTCTTAGTTTCAGAGATTGGTCCTTTTCCACATTTCTTCTAAGTAATCTTGGCACAAATAAAACTCCAATGGACATTGCAACAGGAAGTGGGCTCTCTTAAACTGACATCCTGACCTTTAACCTCTGCTCTATCCACTCAGTGACAGTTACTGTCATCATTTTGTTTTGTTTGATATACCCCCAACTAGACTGTATATTTCTTGAAGACAAGTTGAGATCTCCTTCTGGGCATTTTTCCTTGAACATTAATACATAATTGTTGATTGAACATCAATACATAATTGTTGATTAATTGAGCATGTTACAGTCTCCAAATAACACCAAATAAATCTGATCATTCTTTAGACCTGAACACCTGCAGAATGGATGGCCAGTTCTTATGTTGATATGCTCCTTTGTAAGTTCTCTTAAGTTGGCTGAATGTATAAACTCTGGGTCACTAATTCCTCTTGTAAAATCCCCTTTCTTGGGTCACCCAGTGTGATATATACACATATGCACACATGAACAGAAACTCTGTAGTTGGAGAAGGTACTCTATCATTCAAACAGCTGCGGGGTGGGTGGTCTAGAAAGGTTCTGAGAAAACCCAGAAGGTGTAAAAAGTCAAAGAATCAACATTTCCACAATGTTGCTTGCAATGAAAGCCTGTTTCCACGATGACATGAAGCAATTCTAAATGTGTTTACTAGTAGCTTAGAGACATCTACTTAAACAACTATTATTTTAAATTCTGTTTTAAAGTTGTTTACTTCAGACATACGAATTTTATAAAAATCTCCTTGAGGGCTTGGATTTTGTTTCATCCCCTGCCGTTTTTCTCCAGCACTCTGAACAGTGCCTAGCATGTAGTAGGCACTCAATAAATATTTATGGAAGGAATAAGTGATTAGGATCAAATCAAGAAAATGTTGGCAGCACAGTTAAAGTAGATTCCTTAGTTGTAACAAATGTTCATCATTTAATAATATATTTGACAGAATTTTCAGATTATTGATTTCATGTAAAATATTTGAGCTAGTTATAAAGTAAAAACATAAAAATGCATTGAATTAGACACTGTCTTACAAAAGGATGAGTCACTTAGATTATTTGCTAATTAGTAAACTAATTCATTCAATAAATATCAATTAAATGCCTACAAAACACAGACACTACATTAGCTACCCAAGATACAATGATAATTCCTATTCTCAAACCATCTGGAATCCAGTAGAAGAGATGGACAGATAAAGAGATAATGATAATAAGAAACTAAAAATAATAATAAAAATATGTCTAATATATTATAGAGACAGAGAAGGAGGGAGGATAGATCTTGAATGAAGTCATAAATGATGAGTAAGAATTTTCTAGGCAGAAGGGTAGGGTAGGAGGGTATTCCAGGTGACATGACCAGCATGAAATAGGCCTGGAATAAAGCATGTTACGTTCTTAGGGAGACTCCAAGCATTTGGAGCTCATAGGCAGGAGAGGTAACCACGCAGGTCATGGAGGTCCCAGTTACCACACTGGAGAGCTAGAGTTTCATCCTCTGTATAATGAGAAATCAACAAATTACTTTAAGTATGTTAGTGATATGTTCAGATCTGCATTTTAGAGAGATCACTTTGGTGCTGAGGTTGGATTTTATGAGACAAGCCAGGAGACTGTAAATCCAGTTAGAAAGTGGCCCAGGTAAGAGGCCCAAGCAATGGATGATGAAATCTTGGGTTAAGGAGGATAATAGGGATGAAGAAAATTAGGTAAATTTGAGAAATATTTAAGAGACAAAATGAGTAGAACTCTGTGATTAGTGGAATGTGTAGGTAAGGATGAAGGAGTAATCAAAGGAAGTGCCTAGGTTTTGAGTTTATATGAATGGGTCCATCACCTGAAATACAGAACATCAGGACAATGGCTCATTCCAGGGGAAATCTGAAATGCTCTTAGATTATCCATCTGGAGAAGCTAGTTGACAAGTTGGTCTAGAGGTTAGGAAAGGAGACTACTTTAGACATATTAAATTAGGTGACCTCAGCCTATTAGGACACAAATGGTAAATGAAGCAGGAGGGGAGGTCTCCAAAAAGAAGACAAAGTGAGAAGTGCAAAGGGTCTAGGTTGCATCTCTGGAGAACCACAATGTTAGAGGGGCAGGCAAAGAAGATGCGCTCTCAAAGGAGATAGAGCAGATAGCCAGGGATGCAAGGAGAACTAGCAGAGTGTGGTGCTACCAAAGGAATAAAAAACTTCAAGAAGAAAGGATTGTAAGTTCAAATGCAGCTAAATTTTAGTGAAATGAAGACAGCAAAATCAATATTAGGTTCAATAGCTCAAGGTTGTTCATGACCTTGATGAGAAGAGTTCCAGCACAGAAACAAAAGAAACAGTATAGTTTTGTACAAAGTCAGATGGAATTGGGTTTGAATCCCACCTCGGTTACTTAAATGAGCTTGATTATTACCTCTCTGGGCCTCAGTTTCCTCTTTGGTAAAATGAAGACAAAGATATCCACCTTCCTGTGGGTGTTTGTAAAAATGAGAAATGACATGTGAACACTTCTGTTACCTAATAGAGGAAAGCAGAGCAAGTGGAAGGGATTGAGGAGGTGTGGAAGTGGAGGCACAGGCTCATGCCTAGACTGGATTTCAGCCCTTCATGCCTCCTGCAGTACTATGTCCTATAAGAGCCTCAACATAAAACATTGTCTATGTGAGCACAGAGTGGGGACTCGAGGGAATCATGACAAGTGGGGCAGCACACGGAGCTTGAGACCACAATTTGTAGAAACAACAGGCTGGATTGTTGTCTGGTTTTACCCCAGGAGCATGCAGATCTCTGGGGCTGGGATAGAAAAGGTGGCTTTCGGTCTTGATCTGGGGCTGGAGTTCTGAAGGACAAATGCAAAGGAAGAATAGGGAGAAAAGGCCATTAAAGGTGCTGGTGAGGAGCTGACATGGGTACAGTACGGAGAAGGTAGGTAAGGCCTGATAACTAGCAGGCAAATAAAAGATCTAGGTCAGTGGATCTCAATCAGGGGCAATTCTTACCCCTCCCCACCCCTTAAGGACATCTGGCAATGTCTAGAATCATTTGTGGTTGTAACAGTTCGGAGGAAGGAGGTACTACTGGCATCTAGTGGGTAGAAGCCAGAGATGTCAGTAAATATCCTACAAAGCACAGGACAAAGAATTATCTGGCCCCAAATGCCAATGGTGCCAAGATTGAGAAACCCTGATCAAGGGATTGTTCATTCCTCACTACACTGATAGAAGCAAAGCCCTTGCTCAGAGGAAAAAAGCGTTGTGGTGAAATGTATTGACTTATTAATATTTTTTGTTCCCTATGGCATCTAGAACAAAATTTCTCTCATAGCAATAATAAAATGATAAAACAATAATGCTAGTTATAATAGCCAACAGTAATTGTTACAATACTATGTATTAATCGCCGTGCAGTGTTTCATAGGCATTGTTTTACTTCCTTATAAATACTCCAATCCAAGGCCATAGGTAAAACTTGGGGACGTTGAGCCAGCTTTCCTCGCTATCTGTGTGGTCTCCCCTGAAGGAAGATCTGGCTCCCCTTCTACTAATAATTCATAATGTCAATAGCAATAAAATGCCAACACTAAAAACTACCATTTGTTAATGCCTTTTTGTGTGTCAGGTTGAGCACTTTAATTTGTTTAATCCTCACAATGCTCCATAAAATTATTCTTATGTTCAATTTATACTTGAGAAAACTGAGGCTTAGAGAAGTTAATTGCTCGATGTCTTTCCTACATAGAGTAGGAAGCAGCAAGCACTGAATTCTAACACAGGCCTATCTGTTTCCAAATCTTGGACTCTCAACATGTTTTCAAATAAAATTATAGCCATTCCAGCCACTCCTATACTTCCACATTTTTTTTTTTTTTTTTTGCAGTACACGGGCCTCTCACTGTTGTGGCCTCTCCCGTTGCGGAGCACAGGCTCCGGACGCGCAGGCTCAGCGGCCATGGCTCACGGGCCCAGCCGCTCTGCGGCATGTGGGATCTTCCCGGACCGGGGCACGAACCCGTGTCCCCTGCATCGGCAGGCAGACTCTCAACCACTGCGCCACCAGGGAAGCCCCTTCCATATTTTTTAATCCAGAGGATCTCTCTCTCTACAAATAGACATGTTACAGGCTATCTTTTTTTTTTTTTTTAAGGAGCTTTCTTTCTTGCCCTTTCTGTTTTGGGGACTATGTACCTACGTATAATTGCTACTTTTAGCATCTGGATCAGCTTGATAATAACTTGGGTTTATTTAGTGACAGTCATTACATATTTATTGATTGCCTCATATATGCCAGACACTATTCTAGACACTATCAGATAGAGTTGTGACCTGGACAGGCAGTGTCCCTTTGCTGGAGAACCTCTGTTTTGGTGGGGTTGATGGGCAACAAACACGTAAACAAACACATAAAATAATTTCAGGTACTGATAGGTGCTAAGAAGGAAACAACAAAAAATGTAGAGTTATGTCCTAGTGGCACTAAAGTAACCAGGGAAATACTTTGAGTTGGTAACATTTGAGTTGTGAGTAAATTGATGAAAAGAACATGGCCATGTGAAAATCTAGGGTGGAAGGTGGCAGTAAATGTTTCAGATAGAAGGAAAAACCAGTGCAAAGGCCTGAAAGCAAAAACAAATGTGTTGAGTTTGAGGATAAGTCTCTGGGGAGCCTGCAACTTAGTGAACAAGAGAGAGGCCAGTGAGATGGAGGGAGATGAGGCCAGGTAGCGGGGCACGAGGCAGATCCTGCAGATCCTGCAGATCCCACAGGTCAGGGGGACCGTCTCAGTTAAAGTAATGCTTTCCATTAAGTGTAACCTTTATCAAAGACTTTTAAAAATAGAAAGTGTAATGCTTTTAAAGCATCAATTTAATTTAACAACATTTAATATCTTTTGATAATTCTGATAGACAATGTGGCCAGTGCATGTGAAGCATTTTGGGGACTTACAGGCAGTTTCAATTCTAGTCCTACCAGCCATGGAACAGAGTCAATCAGATTAAGACCCTAATATTCTATTAAAGAACAGTTGAGCATATTAATTCCTTCTTATCTCTTATCAGAGCACTTAGATGGAATATTATAATTTATTCATTCACAGAAGTTCTTGATTTCTTTCCATGTACTTGATTTTTTTTTCTACGTACTTTCCATGCATTATGTCTTCATATATATTCACCCTGTGTTTGAATATCCACGATTTTATGCAATGGAGGATCCAAGAGGTTAAGTAATATCAACAAGATGACACAGCTATAAAGTGGTAGCACTATGATTTAAAATAATATTGTCTCTTTCAGACCCAAGGAGTACATGTATATAATTGTATTTTAATACAATTTGTTTCCATGTAATACTATGTTTTGTACTTTATGCATTTAAAAGTATTTTGAAAAGCAATTCTTAGATTGTATACCAAAATATCAAAAAGTCCACAGTAAAAACTGTTCCAGATCTTGCATTATAATAGAAGTAGCTACAACATGCTGTAGAAATACAAAGGAGATGGTGACTAAACCTACATGGGAAAGGTCAGAGAAAAAGCTTCATGGAAATGATGACACTAAAGTTGAAGTTTGAAGAACCATGAAGGGAACAGAGGAAGGAAAGGAGGGCGGAGCAAACAGCAAGGGCATATTCAGGGAATGGTTCACAGGGCTCCCGGAACTGGATCACGAGGTGGCCAGCAGGGATCGGCAGTTCATCAGTTAAGACAGGATTTAAGCCCCAGATCACAGTTGACTATATGCCATGTTTAATATATTGGGTATTATCTTGGGGCAGATGGAGAACCACTAAAGACTTCTGAGTAGGACAATTGTGGTTTTGAAATAACATTCAATAGTTTAGTATAAAAACAAAGCTCTCCATGTCTTGGCTTGCTATAAGATCATACAAAGACATGGATGCCAAATACAGAAGTATCATTTGAAGCAAACCCTCATCTGACTTCTAGTTCCCCTTAGCCCTCACCAGCTTTCCGCTTACCTTGATTCTGTGTACCAGAGGAGCAAACAGAAACACAAAGAGCTCCACAGTAGCCATGGAGTTCTGGAAGATCTTCCATCGGTTGTTTTCTTCTTCATCATTGGAGTTGTTTTGGCAAGGCTGCCCTGGAGAGCCCTGGTTTTCAACCTGGTGGATGAAAGCACTGCTGCTGCCACCCCAGCTGGAGCCTCGGTCTGTGCCCCCAAAACGCTCGCTGTTGCAGTCCTGGGGGGCCTCCAGGAGCATCCAGTGCAGGGTATGAAGGAGCTTTGTCTCAGCGACACCCAGTTTATCCTGGTGGCCTGCATGGGACAACAACACAGCTAGGTTAAGGCAAACTCTGTGACCAGAACAACAGGTGTCAACCTTGGGTGTGGGAAGAACATCCTTGCTTTGTTCTGTGGCTTGATTTCCTGGGAGAAACTAGCATTTCTCTACACCCCTTACAGCCACTGCTGAAAGGGTTCACTCTTGCTTTGGGACTTTCTAACTGGCTGCAATCCCTGCAGAATGATATGCTGACACAGGGAAAGAAACTGCATGCATCACATCTCTTCAGTCAGATACCCACATATATTTCCAAATAAGCAGCATAGTAGTTAAGAGTATGGGCTTTGAGGACAACAGCTACTCCATTTTAGACAGTGTGATTAGGATAGGCCCCTCTATAAAGGTAACATTTGAGCAGAGACACAAATGAGGGGACAGAACTGGATGGAGAAGATCTTGGAGCAGATGGCTAGGACATAATGCCATGTGGGAAAAGCAATCTGCAAAATAATCTAAACAAGAAAAATAATATGTATGTGCATGCATGCACACATACACATAATACCACGAAGTTGGGAAAAGATCTGGTGGGGAATATGACAAATTCATGAAGGTGGTTGCTTTAGGCATTGGGAGGACAAAGGGACAGCTCTGATTAGGACTCATCTTGAACAGGTGAGAGAGGGTCTTTAGCTTCTCTATAACATTCTAATGTTTAAAAGGAGAATACATTCACATATTCTTGTAAAGTTAAAAAGTTAAAACAAAGAGAGCTAGTTCCCTCATTGGTAAAATGGAGATAACAATGACACCAACGTGAGGGAGATTTTGTCAGAATTAAATGAGAATGTGTGCCCAGTGCCTGGAAAAATAGTCAGTTATACAGGTTGTTATTGTGAGTGTTATTATGAGTCACCATGAGTGAGGACAATGGTATGTCATGAAGAAGGAATGTAGCAGCACCAACCTAGCTTGTTTCTGTTTGACAGCAAGGTTGCAGTGCAGTGCAGGACATGAGGCAAAGCAGCTTGTACCAGTTCCCATCTGGAAATGCTCTGGATGGCTTCAGAGAGGGCCGGAGAGAGGCCATGCAGCTTGTTTTCTACCAACACTCGTTCAAAGGACTGTAGATACCAAAAAAAAAAGTAAAATAAGAAATTAGAGATTCTGATGAGTGAAAAAATAGACAACACAGTACTGTATACCCAAAAAGATATGTATCACTAGACCAAATTCTTTAGAGTGCCCGCACATTGCATTTCATTGTATATGTTGACATGAAATGAGCCAGTGATAATTTCCTATTGTCTACCCATTTTCACGTTTTTGATCCAAAGTATATGGCTTGAATTATTAAATGATTTTTATTTCCACCAAAATAAGCTCCCGTCAAAAGGAGTACAACAACACATTTAGCTGTATGAAGGTTTTGGACGTAATATTTTATAAAATGATCCTGGGTAATTGAAAGGAGCTATCACAACTGCAGACCAAGGTGAAATGTCTTTTGTGAAAGTGTCTTGAGGTACAGAATTTATGTGAATGGGCAACAAGTGTTAAATAAGATCCAACTGTTTCAAGAGATCTGATTTTGGGGTCTCTGAGTTATTCCATGTCCCTAGCAATGATGTGGCAGAGGACACTCCTTACAGAATGCCTAAAACCATAAAGATTGTTCATCTAACTGTTGAATAAAGAGAGAAAAGGAGGGAAAGAAGAAAGGAGGGAGGGCGGAGGGAATAAGCCATTTTTGCTTTGGTGGTTTATTAAATCTTCTATCCTGGCCAGGGATACTTTCAGCAAGTGAAGCACCCCACCCCCAAGCCTCAGAACAAGTTGACCTACTGAGTTGTTTTTTCTCTTTGAAGGTGAAGGAGGATATCACTATAAGGTGTTGGGGAAAGTGCAGCTACCAAATATCAGAATAAAGTTAATAAACATTTGACTTGTATGAACAGAACCTGCTTGCTACTTGATGTCCCAAATGGTCTAGAGAACTGTGTTCTCCCCGAGTGGTCAGAATACCAGTCCCAAGTGCTCAAGCTGTGTTATTGGAATTATTAGGATATCTGAGAAAAAATATGGCCTAATACAGAGATTCTCCAAAGAAAGCTATTTACCTTTGATTCAAGAAAAGAAAATACATTCACCTTCATAATGAAAGGCATGCTGAGGTTTGGCAAGGAGTTCAATCAGAGATGTAGTCTTTGGGGTTTTCTTAAAGAAACCAGATAAAGGCAGTCCAAATACTTTAAAATTCCTCAGCCCTCAGGGATCTAAGTATTCGTTAAGTAAAGGGTGAGTATGTTAGACATTAAAAGATTATAAAGAATTTATACAGTCTTGATGAATATACTTTCAGAGGATGAGTTATATATTTTATAATCTCAGGAAGCTTTAGATACTTAATGCCATTTTCTTCTTAAATGTGACTAATATAACTTTTTGTAATTTTAAACCTTGGCAATTGTTTTCTATACTTACATCACTCTCTATCTATCTGTATCTATGAATGGGACTTACTTGATATTGTGTGACAACATTAAAATGTCAGACATATCTTTGCCAAGAACAGAAAAGTCAGGGTTATTTTAAGCTAGTATAACTGTAAGCGTGATTTGAGGAAGGCGCAGAGATTGCAGGTGCCAAATTACTTTAACTTGAGCTAAGTACAACAAATCCCATTAAAAGGTCCTTATTTAAAAGTTGGTTAGATTTTAAAAAATATCTGTGACAATTTTGAAGGGCATGAAATGCAACAAAAAAAATTCTTATTTGAGCGTGTGCTGTGCACGTATGTGCGTGTATGGGGAGAGGTGTTTGACTTTCCAGTTGGCTTCCATAATAGTGTGTGGCCCTAACACATTTCAGAGCTCCTTACTAGAAGGTCATTTATCATCTATCAAGTCATTTGCAGATATCATGGCAATATCCAAATGGGTAGGTTTCCACTTTTAGGTTATAATATAGGCAATGTAAAGACCTTTATGTGAGCTCCAAGTTTTAATGAAGTCTTTGAAAAGCCCATTTTAATTTTGCTTCACGTTTTTGTGTCTTCTCAATTTGTAAAAAGACAATCTGTAAGTCATGGGATTCCCTTAGAATCTCAGGACAAGTGCACTGTATTTTGCATAAATATTAATAGCATTATTTTCATAATTATTTCATATCATCCATTTCAGACTTGCACAAAAAATGGAAGACATAAAAGTTCAGAATTGCATATTACTTTGAGTAGGTCATAGGCTCTCATTTTATGAGCTTCCACTATATAACAGTTTTGATTTTGTTGATTAAGGATTTGACTTATTATACTTGTCCTCATTCTGTTATCTTTCCACACTCTCTTCTACTGCTCTACCCCTCCCCACTTAGGGCCTTTAGATTTGCTTTCCCTCTGCTCTGCCCTCAGCTATTTCTCCCTCCCTTCCTTCAAATCTTTGTCCAAGGGTCACGTTAGCAGGCAAACCTATCTATCCTCTACTTCTAACATGAAACCTCCACCCTAGTGCTCCTTAATGCCCTTTCTTGCTTAATTTTTCTCCATAGCGCATATCACCACCTGGCTGGCTATGTATTTTACTCATTTATGAGTGGCCTATCCCCCTCCCAGTAGAATGCAAACTCTATATTTGTTTTGATTATTGCTCTATCTCATCATCTAGAACTGTGTCTGGCACATAGTAGGTGCTCAATAATATTTGCTGAGTGAATTAATATATACAGTACAATTTAAATTCTTTCTTTCAAATTACCACACAGTATATGCAAATAGTCATTAAATGGTGAATATCACATACCACACAAGAGGCTTCATATTGCTTCCCCAGTTTAGGCCTCAAAAATGCACTGAAAAATTAATAGAAATAATCGTTTTAAACGCAAGTAAAATTATTATTAGAGCATCCTTATGACATATTTTCAACGAATAAGACATAGTGTTATGAAACAAATTTCACGCCTCCCTATGGCTTGCTAAAGGGCGGGTATTAAACAGCTGACAACATTTGCTTTTATGTGTGTGATTACATACATGAAAAAGCTGTGGATTTCTACGTTTTCTGTATCCAGTCTTATTCTGAAGACTTCTTACCTAATCGGATTCTAAATCACCAATGGTCAGAAGCGTTGCATTACTCATGTGTACCGTCATTTCAAAAACTGAAAACTGAACACAGTTTGTGGCATATGATTTTCAGAATCTAATTTCTTATCTGATAAATCTCTAAAATAATAATAATTAATAATGGAAACCTTGTTTCCTATTTATGGAAATAGGTTTCAGGTTTTTCCAAGAAAAAAAAAATTATTAAAAATGATTCTTCTCAGAGGCTTTAACCAGGAAGATTACACTAGCTGAATCCGAGCAAAAATGGTTAACAAGTGGGCATAGCAGACATTCAACAAACAGGAGCTGGAAAAACAACAGGTCACCGGGCCGGAATTACAGCAGGAGATGGAGGGGGAATTGGACACAGGAGCACAACCAGTCATAATTATCTTCCTTAATTCCCCGCCCCCTCCCCCTAGGCTCTCTGCCCTCTCACCCCCTAAATAATGTATATATTTATTCTACAGCTGCCAACCTGCTAGCCGTCAAACTTCACTGAAATATTTTTTAAATGCGTGTTTTTACGCGGGTGCAGAAGGCTCGATTTCCAGCCCCAGAGAGGGAGCTGCAGGCTGTGGCGCGGCCTCGGCAGCAGCGGCAGCAGCGACGACGACGACGACCCAGGCGGCCCCAGGAGCGCTCCCAGCCCAGGGCGGCCCACGGTGCGCCCTCTGCGCCCCTCACCTGGTTTGCCGCCACAGGAAGGTCTGGATGGGCAAGGGGATGCCGCGGCCGCTGTCTTGCTCTTGGCCCTCGGAGCTCTTCCTCTTCACCATGATGGTGGCTCCTGGGAGTTCCACTGCAGGACCCAGCGCTGGCTCCTCGCTAGCCGCCGCCGCTTCCTCCCTCTGCTCTCCCCAACTCTCATCCCCTCCTTCCCTGAGGCAGAGCAGACGCTCTCCGCCCTGATCCCCCGTCCCTCTCCCCTTCCCCAGCCCCTCCCCGCGCGTGGAACATGGCTGCGGGAGGAGGGGAGGGCTGGAGGAACCGAGGAGCGAGGACGGAGGCGCTCGGAGAAGCTGTCCGCCTCGCCGCCCCCGCGCCCTCTCCTTGCTTTCAGCACCTCCCACTGTGGACAGCGGCCCGCGCCGGACAGGGGTCAGGCTGCGCAGCAGTGGGACGGCCAAAAGGGTCCCAGCTCGGCACCGCGCAGCAGGTCCCCTGCGTGGCCTCTTTAGCCCCCAGAATTCGGCTTCCTCCCCTCGGAGCTGCACCCCAGGAGTGTCCCCTGTCCTGCTTCCCAACCTTGGCAGCTGAAGAACTGTCACGTTCCGGGGAGGAGGAGCTTTGGAGAACCGCAGAGCAGTCGCTATAACCCTGGCATCCTTCGTACCTCTGGCAAGGAGGTCAGGAGTCCACCCTCGGGATTCAGCAGAAGGAGCACATGAAAATTATTAGAAGTCTAAACCAGGAAGGAAGCAAGTTTGGCAAAACAGAAAGCTTGAAAGTTCTCTGATGTGAGAATTTATTGTGAAAGGGTAACCACAAGAAAGTAACCATGCTTGTTTCCCCAAAGCAGAAATATTGCCAAACTAACCAGTTGTATAAGTTAATTACAACTTGAGAAAGAACATTGATATTCATGTTCATTCCATTGATATCTGCCATTTTACTTGAGTTGTCATAGTCAAAGCCCTGTACTATAGTTTATAAGTAGATTATTGTTAGATGTTTTATCTGGCAGTAAAACAAGTAAGGGGTGGGGTCAACAGTGAAGCAGTGTGAGTAAAAAACCATTGCTGTGGATCCAAATACTTGCAAATGAACATAGTCATACACCATTTTGAACAAAGGTATTGGTGTGATCCACAAAATGGAGAATCAGACACCCCAGGGCCTAATCTCAACAGATAGAAATATCTTCTATTAGCTACATGTGTGTCTACACCATATAGAGACAACTATATGGTATGTATTGGTATTTTCAGTCACAGAAATAAATTCTTCGTTTAATTTCTTAAAGTTTTTTTTTTTCCTTTTTAACCATTGGACAAAGAATCTTATAATTAGTATCAGCAGCTCTGTGAGGAGGAAAAAAGATAACAATGATGTTTTATAATATCAATGAGGAAGTTCATTTCTTAGAATTATGTGATAGTCATGTTTTTTTCAGTTATTCATAGATACTTTCCATTGCTTAAGATTATAAATATCTAGGGCTAGGACATACAAAGGAAACTTAGAGACAGTCCACTCCTATTTCCAAATTGTACTGATAAGGGTGATGAGGCCTAGGGTTATGAAGTGACTTCCTAGCTGGTTAATGGTTAGGACCCAAAGGAGAAGCAAGTCCTTATGATTCTCATCACAGAGCTCTTTTCTTTTATAGGCTATATGGTAAATAGGTTTTCTCTCTCATGCCAACTCAGATTAATTGGTAGGGCCTGGCTGTTGAGAAAGACTGTGGAGATAAGGCCCAGGTACTTCAAGAAAAGACTGCTGTTATTGATTAGTGCTGTCTGCTATGTGAACAGCATAGGGGAAATTACACACATTTGTTACTTCTCAAAGGTATTCTTTATACACGATCTTTGAGCCTAACTTTCAATATTTCTTCTGCCTCGCTTGTAGCTGCCATCACTCACAATGTTACTTAATGTCGTCAAAGGTATTCTACCCTAAGAGAGGTAATATGTCTCAGTGTACCAGACTTAGATTTGATCATTGGGAAATATGTCATTCTTAGTTTGGATCTTCATTGGGTTTTCTTGAGCTGTTTCTCATTTCTCATGTTGCTAAATGTCTTGGGCTTCTGCATTATTATGATGTGACCTGTCTGACTAGGATCTCAAAGCTGCCAGGGCAGGGCTAAAGCTCTGAGTACAGGCTGACTCCAGTTTTGCTTCTCTTGAAGTCATCTTTTAATATGAATCTTGAAACAAAGAAAGATAGATTCTAAATAGTTTATTCATATTTACTGAGTCCATTTTATATGCCAAGCACTAATCTATATAGATTCCTGCCCATAAGAAACTCACTGTATTGAAGGGAAGACAGATAGGTAAAGAAAAGGGTACAATGGGAGACATGATACAAATTTACTTATGAACAAAGGGACAAGGCAGAAAATGTGGGCAAGAATCAGATGGAGAAAGATTTTGTATGGCAGGCTACAAAGTTTGGATAGGAAGATTTTAAGCAGGGCAGTAAACACTTCATTTCCATTCGAAAGTGATTGATATGACTGGAATGTAGAAGTTATTTGAAATAGGCAAGAGTTGTATGTGGGAACCTAAGTCTGGAGATTAGAAAAATATCCTGAGATCCTGAACTAAGGACATGGCAACAGAGCTAGAGATAAGGAGATGAGTTTGAGTGGACTTGCAGAGGCAGAATAGATAGGACTTGATAACAAAGTGGGCATGGGGAAAGAAAAATAGCACAGTGGTTAAAAGCTTAGGTGTTGAGCCAGACAGTTTTGACTCTAGCCCTACCTCATATTAGATATAACAACCTGGGAAAGGTTCTTCACTATGGTTTTCAAGTAATTGTATTGATACTTTCTCCATAGAGATGTTGTGAAGATTAATGTTAATACTTGTAAAGAATTTAAGAGAGTCCCTGATCTATACTAAGCCTTCAGTAAATATCAGTTGAAGCTCTAAATTTTCTATTTTGAGCAACTGAGTAATGATGATCTCATTCAAAGAGAGAAAAAGTTGGCAAGGAGAATCATGTTCTTATTTTATGAGTGTGTATGGAAGAATTAATTAGTTTTCCTTGAGTAGCTATTGGAAATTCCAATGGATACCATCAGGAGGCAGCTAGAAATATGGATGTGGAGCCCAGAAGGGTTAACGGGGTAGGATAGATTGATTAACACTGTATAAAAGATAGTGAAACCATGGAAGTAGATAAAGTAATTCAGGTGAACATATGGAAAGAGAAAAAAAGAGCCCAATTTGGAAGTATAGGGGACAACTTTAGTCTTTTGTCACCAAAGATGTTTTTAGGAGGTGACAGCATAGGATAGGATAGTGGGGTAGGCAAAATTCTAAGATGGCCCCCAAGATTCCTGCCCCTTGCTAAACATACACATCTTCTCCAAGTTATTAATAAAACCCATACTAACCTAGGTGCTGCGGTGAAACAATTTATATAAACTTTAAGATTTTTTAAAAATTATTAATAGACTTTATTTCTGAGGGCAGTTATGGTTTAAAGAAAGAATACACAGACAGTTCTCATATATTCTCTCTTTTCCAGCCCACAATTTCTCCTTTTAACAACTTGCGTTGGTATGGTACATTTGTTATTATTGATGAGCCAATCTGATACATTATTAACTAAATCCATAGTTTACATTAGTGTTCACTCTTTATGTTGTAGAGTTGTATAGGTTTTTCCAAATAATGTCATTTATTCATCATTATGATATAGAGTAGTTTCATGCTTTAAAAATTTTCTCTGCTCCACCTAATTCCTCCCTGCTCCTCCCCAGCTCCTGGCAACCACTAATCTTTTCACAGTCTCTATAGTTTTACCTTTCCCAGAATGCAATATAGTTGGAATAATACAGTACGTAGTTTTTTCTGACTGGCTTCTTTCACTTAGCACTTAAGCTTCCTTCATGTCTTTTTGTAACTTGATAGCTTATTTATTTTTATTGCTAAGTAATATTCCATTTGTATGGCTGTACCACAGTTTATTTATCCATTCATCTTTTTTTTTTTTTTGGCCGTGCTGCATGGCTTCTGGGATCTTAGTCACCCCACCAGGGTTTAAACCTGGGTGCTTGGCAGTGAATGCATGGAGTCCTAACCACTGAACCGCCAGGGAATTCCCTATCCATTCATCTATTGAAGGACACCTTGGTTGCTTCCAATACTTGGCAATTATGAGTAAAGATGCTACAAACATTTTGTGTGCAGGTTTTTGTATAGATGTAAGTTTTCAACACATTTGGTAAAATACCTAGGAGTGCAATTGCTGGACGATTTTTTAAGACTGATTAGCTTTGTAAGAAACTGTCAAACTGTCATCCAAAGTGTCTGTACCATGGAATTTTTTTTAAAATAAGAGATTTGGACATATTTATGGGCCAGAATTAAAGGGTCATTTTAGAAGGAAATGTTGAGCATATTTAAGAGAGAGAATAATTAATTAACCAGGTTCTGGAGCACAGCTGGATTTATCATTCTTTGGCGGAAAAATAATTCCTAGGATGGAAGATAAAAAGGAAGAATAGTAGAGTCTAAGTTAGAAGGAAAAGAGGAAGAATGAGAATATGAGAGTGTTCAGGCTCGATGGCCTATGTAAGCTGTGTAGTAATCAATAAGGTCATTTTTAATGAGTGATATTTAATAGATAAAAGTAGGGTATTTGTCAGAAAAATATTAATAGCAGGTAGCATATATTGAGTACTCGTTATATGTCAAGGTCTGTTTTAAGTGTATCAATCAATTGATCCAAAAAACTCTGCTGTCAAAACTTAAAGTAGAGAAAACTGAGCCACAGAAAGGTTACATGACCTGCCTGAGGTTACACAGTAAGTGCTAAAAGAAACTGTGAAGTCTGGCTTCAAAGTTATACCCTAACTTTCTATTACAATACTGAGTATTGTGAAGTTTTGAGGGTTTGGAAGAAGTGCTATGAATCATGTAAATGAGAGCTACTTAAGGACATACGAAAGAACTTCTCTGTTAATGGTAGAAGATGAAGAAGAGCTAATGGTCCTTTCCATTTCCAAATCCCCTTAAGGCAATAAGTCATATGGAGGTGGAAAAAAATCTATAATAAGCACTGTAAAGATCTGTTTTCAAAATAACATTTTAGTGGAGAATTAAGATTACCATGATGGTTCACTTCTCATACCTCACTGAAAACCTCCAAATACTTTTTGCCTTTGGGAAAGAAACCTGCCTTCCCTAAATGCTTTCCTCTACACTGTCTTCTTTAATACATTTCTCTTTCAATTCAGATGAACACTGTTGGAGGAAAGCTAAGAACTGAGTTAATCTGTCAATCATAGCACCAGGGTTAATAAACCAGTCCATGATAATCACTGCATATCATTATCTCACTGTGCAACACACTGAACTGGATGTGGAGCTTTCCCAATGATGGCACTCAGTGATGGAGTGGCTTTGGGTCAGAAGAGGAAACTGGCTACTGGGCTTTAGGAAGCATGTGAAAGGAAACTGCAAGAAGATCCACACAGATGTAGCTAAATATATGTCAGCTTTGAAAATTATCCTCTCTTTTAAATGGAAGGGTGAATTTTGATAGTGGCCAGGAGCCAAGTTGCCAGATGAGTATATAAATAAACATTCTTTGCAAATAAACTGAGCAGAGGAGAACTCTGTTTGGATT